TTCTATGGCTTGCCTGTTGACTGGGAACACCCCCTTGAAAACGTTTAACAGGCCCACATCATTTTGGCCATGTTCTTTGGCATGGCCCTTTGGAGGCAGACTTGAGGGATGATTCCACAGGGACACTTTAGGAAGGTGGGGTTGCTCTCCATTCAGCTAGGTTTCGGTCAGATTCCTTTATTTTCTCTAAGCAAGGTCAACTTTTCTGTCTGCTTCTTGCCCGCGTCCCCCACTGGTCATGATGCTCTCATGACCTTGCCAACGACCACCTGCTGTTAAGCTTTTATCATAAAGGCTGGGCATATTTTTGGAAAACTCTCTGATGAACATGGAGTTCCTCCTGTCTTCTGAAGTTTAGGGCTTATCCCTAAATTAAACCTTTCCCTCTTGTCCCAAACCCATCAGCAGTTCTGTGGGTTCTTTAACGTATGACCCCTTACTTGTCTCTGCCTTTCCTGCCTCCCTGTAGCCTACACTGCCCCACCTCTCACCTGGACTGGTCTCTCTTTTCTACTCTTTCTCTTGGAACTGGCTGGCCAGCTACGGCGGTGGGTGGCCTGAAAGCTTCGTGGCATGGCTTGTCCAACTTTCAAGGGTAATCAGGATTTAAAAATATACGAGACAGGACTCCCAAACCCTAAAATATTTATTACATGCCCTACACGAAAGTCTGCGGACGCCTGTCCTAGGTGATCCATTCTCCTCTGGAAGTGTGAACAGTCTTTTAAAACACAGGGGCGCCTGGGTGGCTCAGCTGGTTGACCGTCGGACTCTATTTTGGCTCCGGTCATGATCTCACGGTTCTGGGATCAAGTCCCGTGCCGGGCTCTGCACTGACAGCGTGGGGCCTACTTGGGATCCTCCCTCCCTCTCTCTGCCCTTCACGATAAATAAACTTAAATAGAATACAGGACTTATTTTGCCCCCTCTCTGCTTCGACAGCCTCCTTTTTGACTCAGAACAAAATCCAGACTCTACCGTGGCCTATGGTTCAACACCAAACTCCTGGCTGGGCTAAGTCATCCAACTTGAGCCTCAGTTTAACCGCACTGGAAAATGGGAATCCCGCTGACAAAAAGTGCGGAGAAGAGTGTGTGGAACGCAGCCGCGGCTGTTAAGACTAGTTACTCTTTAAATGAGCGTGGGATTCAAGGAGAAGAAGAAGATGAACCCGGATTCGACACAGATGAAGATGGCAAGTGACGCCAGCACAAATTCGCACACGCTCCAATTCTTGACGCACAGATGATAAAAACCCGCATTCACCTGACGCCATTGCTTAGGTGGGCTCTTTCGAACATTTATTAAAAAAGCAAAATGTATGTTCATCTCAAATAGAACAGTTAAAAATGGTAAAGCAATACAAACACCTTGTTACTAGCAGCCTCCAGTTGTTAGAATTTCCCGCCCTGCTCTTCAGTCCGTTCCGGGCAAGCCCCTCTTTCCAGAGCCTGCGGCTGCCTACGCCTCCCTCATCATAGTGCAGGTCAAACCCAAGTTTATAAAATTAACAATTTAAGGTTAAATAAGCTTAAATAAGGGCGTTAAATACAAGACACTTCATCAAAGCTTCTGTACAAAGAGAAACAAATTTGGCATTGTACACACGTGATTCTGCGGGCTCCCCGCGGACGGGAGGTTCTAGAACGTAAGCAGGCGTACTCGTCTTCAGCAGAGCAGTAACTAAACACAGTGAACTAAGAGTTGAAGGGACCGCTCACTGAGCCATACACAAGGCATGTGTAGCTTTTTGTGTGTTTTGTGTGTGTGTGTGTGTGTGGTTTTTCTTAAATCAGAACACTGTTAATATTCAGGCACCGTTTGCTCCTGCAAATAAATAAGTCTCTAAATCGACTGCATACAAACTAGTGTTAAAGACGTCAGTGCTTTTTAAATTCCCCCCACGCGGCTTCTCCCTACTATTTACTATGCCTCTTTCTTATTGCTATGATAATGTGGCTGAGAAATAAAACTACTGTACATCCAAAAAAATAGAGCACCTTTAACATTAAAGTATACGTCTGATTATTTGTCTCCGGGTTTATGTTACAATACTAAAGCCCAAACTGCGGTCGATCTGCTTTGGACATCTCTACCAGGTCACCTGATCCAGAGCAGGTCGAGCCCCCCTTCTCCTCCCTGTTGAGGTACGGCCCGCGCCACAGCACCCGCGCCGTGGAGCCCGACGGCAAAGAGGTCCGGGACCGACGCCAGCGGCTACATTCATCTCGACAC